TGTGCCCCCTCCCAGCTTCTTGTGCACCTCCAGCCTGCTCAGTCGGTAGAGCATGGAAAACTAAAAAGTCCTTGGCCAGTGTAAGCATTACCTAGCAACAACTAAAACATCTGTGCGTTATCAACTTTGTTCTCACCCTAAATCCAAAACACTGTACCAGCTACTAGGAAGGAAATTAACTCTATCCCTGCCGAAACCAGGACAGATGCTCAGTTCAGTTAATGGATTGAGATAACATAAATTTCTGTGCCCAGCAGAAGCCTCAAACCAGCCCCTAACGATGCACCAGATATTCAGAAGCTGAACACTTGAAGGATAGTAAATGACTAAAAGCTCCAAGCACACAGCTGTGATACCTTCTAGGCATAAAGAGGACTTGAAATTCATAGTCGCGTTCTTTGTGTGAATAGCAAGGTGAACTTTGCTTTCAATTTCAGCATTTAATACATGGCAAACATCAGATTCTCTGTAGCTGGGGAGGAACACATTTGAGCGTTCATTAAGTTGAATCGCATACCACATACAAAAAATACTGAGATAATATTGTTTCCAACATTCACACCCAACATTTACCAAGCTATCTCTATAAGAATAAGATTAAGCAATTAATTCTGGGCCAAAATTCAATTATGGCTAATTTTTTCAGGGGCCGCCAGCTTGGCAAAGAGCTTGGTAATAACCCAGTACATGTTTCTGAAAGCCGTGACTGGGGAATCCAGAGGTCTAACCATGTCTCCACTGGTACCTTCTCAGATCCTTATTCAATATAATAAAAAGAAATGAACAAGTCAGCTGTAGTAACTCTGCAGAAATCAAATGCTGGTTATTGCTGGGGCCCAGTACGAGTGCTGGGGGTACTCACAACCCCAAGTTATTCTAGCAAGGTCGTTGGTGTTAGTAACTGCTTTTTGAAAGACATTTGTGCCCCGGAGAGAGAGCATCTTGAAAACGGATGTTTGGAAATGTTTTCGTGGTCATAGGGTTTTGTTGCCAAAACTGATGCAAGTGTGTCACCTATACAAGCTCTACTGCCTGTACACTTAATGGCTCTGCATTGCACTAGCCCAGTGAGAAGGCAGGAGCTGACGGCCACCCTGTCCCCAGGAGAGAAGAGAAATAGCAAGTCCCTGCCGAGCGGTTTCCCTTCCTCCTTTCTTTCTGCTCTTCAGAAAGAGCTGTCATCCTGCTCTGGCTCTGTATTGCAATGCCACTGGAAAAAGTGGAGGACTGGAGGAATTCTCCTCCTTTTCTCCAAGGCTTTCCCTGTGTCTTGGGCTACCTTCTCCTGCGCCTGGCAGAGGCTTCTTCCTACACGCTTGCTGCTGCTCTTTGCGTTTAGGTGAACGCAAACTTTAGGCGGCTTTAACAGCTTGGATGATGTTTCTGTACAGTCAGCATCCAGCAACAAGACAACAGAGACTATAATGACATTTCTGCAGGTGTCAGAGGTGCCCAGCTGGAAAACTTCAGAAACAGGGCACTGGGATGCCCAACGCTGCAGCCGTCCCTGCTCCTCCCTGCCGACCCACTCCTGGGTGCAGCCGGACACAGCACCATCCTCTCATTGCCTACAGCCGTTCAACACAGCTTTATTGACTTCTGGGCTCTGGAGTCCCACCATCGGTGGCTCTAGGAGTGAAAAGCAACAAGTGCTCTTCAGCAGTATCTCCTCTGGCTGCTCCCTTCTGCCAGGGCACCGTTGTCAAACATCACCATGTTGTCACACTGTGATGTCACCGCTATGTTGCACCAGCATCACAGTGACATGTCAGAATGTCCCATCGGTACCCACAGTCAGCCAGCGCCAGTTGGTCTTTGCTTGCTGACTGGCAGGACAAGGCCTGGCCGTCCAGGGCGATGGACAGCGAGGGAAACTTCGGTCCAGCCGGGACACAAGAAATGAAAAGGGAGCCATCTCCGGCAGAAACACCACCCCTTTCTGCTCCGGACAAGCTGGGGCAGTCGGCAGACACAATTTCTCCTGGCCGTCCTGGACAGGGGGAAAGCGCACCTGCACAAGAGGGAAAGGAGGAGCGGGATGTCCAACCTGGCAGTGACGGACACGAGACCAAACAAGTCCCTCCTGTTTCCAACAAGAGTGTGGACAAAGCCAGTGGATTCTCATCCCTCTGCTTTCCACAGAAGCTTTGGAAAATGGTGGAAAGCGACGAGTTTCGGTCCATTTGGTGGAGCGAGGGTGGAAGATGCGTGGCCATCAATGAAGAACTCTTCAAAGAGGAGGTGCTGGGCAGGGAAGGACCTCTGCGGGTTTTTGCCACGCAGAGCATGAAGAGTTTCCTTCGACAGCTGAACCTCTATGGATTCACCAAAATACAACGTGATTTCCGAAGATCTGCCTCCCTGCCCGAATTCCTGGCAGAAGAAGCAGCAGCTTCTGCTCACAACCAGGTACAGCAGTTGCTCTGCACATCAATTAATGCTCACAATAGTCTTGGGGGAGAGATGGACCTTCACACCAAATAAGGCCTTGCAATACAGGAGATGAGGATGGTAGCGAGCGGTCTGGTTTTAATTTCCTTCTCAGGTCATTTTCAGGAAGGTTTGAGTTAGTCTTTCTGACTAGTAGAAACACAGCTAAAATACAGTTTAGTTATGTCCACTGAGTTTGATCCCGTTAAATGGAAAGACAGGCTCAGCGTAGCCTGATTTCTTGTAATGTCTTTGCTACTTGTCTTGCTGTACCAAATCTGAAACCTTCCTGTGGCATCTGCTGAATGCCGAGAAGATACATCTAAGGACCATAGTATTACCTGCATGCTCATATCCACACTGAAGTTGCTGAAAAGTTGTGGTATTTGGCTTTTGAAAGCAGTTCTTCAGCTTTTGAAAATCCTATGCTGCTCTGCTCCCAGACGGCAAAAACCCAGGGATGACGATGACTGAACAGAACCGTCACATAACGCTTTAGGCTGAGCTTTAGGTTTCAAGCTCCCCTGAGAGTCCGTTTCAATATCTATGCTCATCTTTTGCAATTCAGAGTCTTAGTTCTCATAGCTTGGGGTTTTCCAGTCTTGAAATGGTGTCAACTAACTCTTCCCCTTTGCTTTTTTTTTAGGTACTCTACTACTATAACCCCAACTTTAACAGAGAGCATCCCCACCTGCTGGAAAAGTGCAAGAGGAGAGCTAGCCTCAAACGGAGAGCCCCAGATGCACCGGAGATGAATGAAGAGCTCCCCTCCAGAAGCCTAGGTGGTCAGCCTGCAGGGGACACGCAGGTGTCTCCACCCGGGATGACCGCACCCACCAAGCGACGGGCTGAAGCACCTCCCAGCCTCAGCAGCCCTTGCCCATCTCCACCGGCAGCTGCTCCCATGCTTCCAGGGCCTGCCGGAGCAGCAGGCAGCAAGAGGTTCACCCCTCTGGCCATCTTCTTTCTAGCATCATCCAGCAGCCAAACCCTGGATAGCTTCCAGAGTGCTGCTCATGCTCCTCCACTATCTGCAATGCCTGCGCTGGCAGCAGCCTCAGCTCTGCTGAGGCCAAGGCCACCCCACTGCCCCACCTGCACCTGCAGCCCCAACCCTGCAGATGGACCCCAGTGTGGCACACCCTAGAGAGAGCTCAGAGAGTTGGCAGCAAGTCAGTAGCGTCTAATTAATAGTGTTGTTAATAGAGTTGGTAAGAAACAGAGCCTAATAGTGTTGGTAATAAACTGTTTGGATGATAAATCTTTTCCAGTTGTCCTGTCCTCTCTGCACAGCACAACCCCAGGGTGAGTTCCCATTTCACCACCCACAGACCAAGCAGAAGCAACTGATCTGCCACCAGCTGAACCATTTCTGGTTTCCTAGCACTAGAGAATAAAAGGCAGGATGAGGGTTGCATGGTGCCTGCATGGGGGATGCTCTTCCCCATGACATCTATGAATGAGAGGTCCTCTCTTCTGCAGAGACATTCTCCCAAGGCCACGCCAGGAGACCAGGAGCTCACAAGACCTGGGACTCTTCAGGTGACACGGCTGGGCCATAGAGCCATGGCTCAGCTTTTACCAGGAGGAGACAACCCATTACCCAGCAACTGAAGGAAGAACCTCTGATAAGAGCATTTACCAAGGCTCAGTTTAGCAAAGAGTATTTAACTGAAGCATCTAAACTAGATGCTGCTTCATGCTGCCCTTCCTTTTTACTGAGCAGGGGGTTCATTTCGTGGTGAGAGCTGGCTTGTCACACATGCTGCGGAGGACGGTCTGCGCTTTGCAGTGGTTTACGTTAACCAGCATAAGAAATAAGGGTGCAAGTTTGTAAGTCCCCAGTAAACATGCAGTGCTACACAGCACAGTCCCATCACGGAGAGATTGCCCAAATTAGGGCCTAAGATCGGAGAACTGAGTATGTGATTCCCCCACCCCAAATTGAACATCCAGATGAAGATGCCAACATCTTCATCTAAGCTGGACTGGGGAAGCAGTCTTTCATCTCATGCCTTCTCCCGATTGCTTTAAAATAGGCATTGCTGAGCCAGCAGCATGGGTTACAGAAATCGGTATCTTTCCAGGGCTGAACCGGTTTGCGTAAAGTAATCCAGGAGAAAATCAAAGTGGGGATACTGGCTTCACACTGCAGCCCTGCATTCCTGGGGAGGGGCAGGGGTCCCGCGTGCCTCCGGCCACAGCTGCACAGGCACGTCTTTTCACCCCTATCGCCTCCGCTCGCTGGCCACTCCCCATCATTCCCCCTTTGCTCATCCTCTTCCCCCGTTATCCCCCTTCCTACGTCTTTTCCCATAAATTTTCCTCTTTTTTTCTGGCTTCTCTGAGGCGTTACACTCCCAGACCCCCCGGCCCAATGCACAGCCCTTGGCAGCATCGCAAGGCACTGCCGGTGTCGTCGGGGGACCCTCCCACCCCAAAACATGCCACAGCGGAAGACAAGGAGACGCTTGCGGGTGCCTACTGGTTTTATTAGCATCCCCACAGTCAGGTTCCTAACCCCACGGCGAGGGTGCTGGGGCGCAGGGTGGTGTCACCCTGCCTGCCCAGGTGTCCCCGGGGTGTGTGTGTGGGGGGGAGGTCACTTGGCGAAGCCCTGGGTGTCACAGCGGGGTCCCTGCCACTTGTCGTAGCACTGGCAGGTGAACTCCTCGGCCAGCCGGGAGACATCGTCACCGGACTCCAGGTTCTGGGCCACAAGCCAGGGCTTGCCGACTTGCAGGTCGATGGTGAAGCGGAAGGGGTCGAGGTGGAGGAAGCCCTGCTTGTTCTCCTGGCGCACGCAGCGGCCCTGGCCAGAGCACAGGCTCTGGCTGCACATATCAGCGCTGGCCGTCACGTTGACGATGTAGTGGCCCAGGGGCCCCTCCAAATAGCCCTTCAGCCTCAGGCACATCTCCTGCAACAGTACGTGGTGTCACAGCCCTGTGCGGCTGGGGAATGGGGGGTTCCCGCGGCCAGTGGCGCGGTGCCACCCACTGCACTCACCTTGGAGGTGCTGTAGTTGAGGCTGCCCCAGAGGATGATGCCAGCAGCGCCCTGAGCCGCAGTCTCCCCGATGGTGTTCATCAGGTCCTCCTGCACCCAAGGGGAGAGGAGAAGTCAATGGTGCCCAAAGACCCGACATCGCCCCGGCAGAGCTAAAGACTCCCTGGCGCCAACCCATCAGCCCAAGACGTGCCCACTGTCCCCACATCCCCAGCACCTGGGAGAGGAAGTCGACGGTGCAGTCGAAGGCGATCTGGGAGTAGGGCAGGACGGGGATGCCATCATTGAGGATGCCACGCTGGACGGCGAAGGCCTCGGCCACGCGGTGCCGGACGTAGGCGAGTGCCTTGTTGGTGCCGTTGAAGCGAGGGGGCAGGTAGATGCTGGGGTAGAGCGCCCGGCTGCTCTCCCAGAGCCACCACAGCTCCTTGTTCCTCTGCTGCTCCACCACCGGGCACGTCCCGGTGTAGGGCAGGCTGTCAAAGTCATTGTTGTAGCAGTTGGGGAAGCCGTAGAAACCCCAATAGCTGTCGGGACGGAGGGTCTTGCCCAGCTGCAGGGTCTGCTCCATGAAGTTGCGGGCGCTTTGCTCAAACTGCCGCTTGGCCATCTCCTTCACCAGCTTGGGGGGCCACTGTGGGTGCTGCTGCCGCACCAGCTCCTCTGACTTCTGCCAGTAGATGTCCATGGAGCCCCAGTTGCGGATCCACAGCGGGCGCCACTTCTCCCAGTCAATGACGGACAGCCCGCTGTAGGCAGGGCTGGGCAGGATGACCTCAATGTCCCGGGTGGCGTGGTGGAGGTGGGCCTGCAGGCTGGCATTTTGGGGAAGCCCCCCATTCACTGGCATCCTCTCGGATGTGTAGTAGGGGAGGAGCCCCAGTTCCTTGCTGTAGAAGAGGGTGATGTCCTGCCCGATGAAGGACTGCTGGTCGTTGGCCAACACATCAAAGATCTCCAAGTTGAGGGTGACATTGTACTTCTTGGCGCAGCGCTCGGTGGGGATGTTCCAGATGGTGACGAAGGGGCGGTTGACGAGGACGGGGCCAGGCCCGCCGGCGTGGGCCGGGGCAGGCAGGAGCAGCAGAAGGACCCAGCAGGGCCACCCCGATGCCATGGTGCTGGCAGGCGCAGGATGGGTCCCGGAGCTGCCTGGGGAGAGCCGAGACGGGTTGAGACCTGGGCAGACCTCAACGCTTTTATCCCCAGCCCAAGCTGGGGCCAGCATTAATCCACACCCTGGTCCCCGAGCGGTGCCAGTCACCCAGGGTCACCTCTCCCACCTCCTCAGTTGACGTCCCCAAAGTTATCAGCAGCTGGAGCCCAGCACGGCAGCCACGCAGGGGGGAGGCAGCGTGCCAGCCCCGGCTAATGGCTGGGAGACGTCGGGGGACTGCTGGTCGTTGGCCAACACATCAAAGATCTCCAAGTTGAGGGTGACATTGTACTTCTTGGCGCAGCGCTCGGTGGGGATGTTCCAGATGGTGACAAAGGGGCGGTTGACGAGGACGGGGCCAGGCCCGCCGGCGTGGGCCGGGGCAGGCAGGAGCAGCAGAAGGACCCAGCAGGGCCACCCCGATGCCATGGTGCTGGCAGGCGCAGGATGGGTCCCGGAGCTGCCTGGGGAGAGCCGAGACGGGTTGAGACCTGGGCAGACCTCAACGCTTTTATCCCCAGCCCAAGCTGGGGCCAGCATTAATCCACACCCTGGTCCCCGAGCGGTGCCAGTCACCCAGGGTCACCTCTCCCACCTCCTCAGTTGACGTCCCCAAAGTTATCAGCAGCTGGAGCCCAGCACGGCAGCCACGCAGGGGGGAGGCAGCGTGCCAGCCCCGGTTAATGGCTGGCAGCGGCGGGCCCGGCTGGGGCGGAATGCGCAGAGTCAACACCCAGTGACTGGCCGGCGATGAGCTGGGCTGGAAAGACAAACAGACACGGGCGGGGTGGAGGGGGACAAGGTCACGGTGACGGACGTGGGCTGCGCCGGGCGGGCGCCTCTGGGGAAGTGCAGGGCATCGGCCATCGGATGGCGGGAGGAGGGCACTGCTGGGAGGAAGCTCACAGCATCGGGCAGGACCTGGCAGGACACAGCCCGGCGAACGGTGGTGGCACAGGAGGGCACCGTCTGGGGACATGCACGCGTGGGGACAGCAGCCACAGGAGGGCATGGTTTGGGGACACTCAGGGCACAGGACGGCAGTCACGGGAGGGCACGGTTTGGGGACACTCGGGGCACAGGACAGCAGTCACGGGAGGGCACGGTTTGGGGACACTCGGGGCACAGGACAGCAGCCACGGGAGGGCACGGTTTGGGGACACTCGGGGCACAGGACAGCAGCCACGGGAGGGCACGGTTTGGGGACACTCGGGGCACAGGACAGCAGCCACGGGAGGGCACGGTTTGGGGACACTCGGGGCACAGGACAGCAGCCACGGGAGGGCACGGTTTGGGGACACTCGGGGCACAGGACAGCAGCCACGGGAGGGCACCGTCTGGGGCCGCGCAGAGCAGCCGAGGGGCGCTGGCAGGAAGGCGGCTGTGCCCACGGGCACCCCGAGAACGGGGCAGCACCGAGACCGG